GCCGGTGCTTCGATGGCCTATGCGGGCTGGCTGCTATTCCAGGCGGCGCTGTATGCGTGGCTGCCCAGTCCCATTGGGTACGGACAGCGAACCCCCGCCGGACATCTTTTGCCGTATCGTGTGAACGGTATTCACGCCTGGGTCGTGACACATGCGATTGCCATAGCAACGGTTTGCGCTGGGATGTTGGATCCGGCGGTAATTGCAAAGAATTGGGAAGGGTTGTTGATCGCAGCGAATGTTTACGGCTATCTTCTTGCCGTGGCGGCTTATTTGAAAGCGCACTTCTTTCCGACTCACGAGGCGGACAGAAAGTTCAGCGGTACGTTTTTCCGAGTCGGCGAACCTGAATTTTCACAGTTTCTATTTGAGGTCGAAGGGTTAATTGATTGCTTCCAGGCTCCATGGTTTACGACTTTTACATGGGGATCGAATTGAACCCTAGGTTTGGTGAATGGTGGGATTTCAAGTTGTTCCACAATGGGCGACCGGGGATTATTGCCTGGACCCTGATGTGAGCTTGGGCCCTTTGCTTGTTTTTTTTTTTGGGTGATAATATCCCAGAAAATGGGACAGTCGGGTGTGGTTGGTGGTGTGCTAATCTTGGCCGTAGCAACCTCTCATTCGCCGCTTGGCAGTTCCAATTGCACGGATACATTTCCAACTCTATGATTATTGTGAACGTCCTTCATGCGTTTTATGTCGTGGACTTTTTCATCAACGAGGATTGGTATCTGCGCACTATTGATATCTGTCATGATCATTACGGATTCTACCTTGCGTGGGGGAGCATGGTCTGGCTGCCTGGGACATACACTTTGCAAGCGCAATACCTAGCGAGGTACCCGGTTAACCTGTCAACCCCAGTCGCGGCCGCGATACTCCTAACCGGAATCTCGGGGTATGTCGTTTTCCGCAGCGTGAATTATCAGAAGGATATCGTCCGAAGAACCAACGGTGAGTGTATGATATGGGGGAAGAAGGCGGAGGTGATACGCACGACGTATAAGACTGAAGACGGAAAGACACACGAATCCTTACTCCTTTGTTCCGGTGCGTACATAATTCCCACTTGTTATCTCACTCGATGGCACAAAACTGACCCGCTCGCATCATAGGATGGTGGGGAATTGTTCGTCACGCGAATTATCTGGGGGATTTGGTCCTTTCGTACAGCGGGTGCGCGGTGTGCGGAGTGCATAATATCCTGCCGTGGTGGTACGCGGTGTTCATGACGGCCTTGCTGCTTCAACGGTGCGTGAGGGACCACTCGCGATGTTTGGGAAAGTATGGGGAGGATTGGGAAAAGTACTGCAGAAGGGTGAAATGGAAGTTGATTCCGGGCGTTTATTAGAGGGTTGGTTGATTGTTTGTAGAGGTAGAGTAGAGTAAAGTAGAGTAGACGTTTTTTTTTTCTTTTCTTTTTTTCTTCTCTTTCTTTCCTCCCTTCCAAGTCTGTGCCCCCCTGTCTGCCAGCTCTTCTTTCTATGCACAGTGCGGTGCCTTCATACTAGTACATCATGCAGAAACACAGTAGTGTACAGCACACACAGCGCAGTAGGATGGTGAAAGAGTTTAAAGGATAGAGAAGGTTGATGGATTAGCGAAGGGCTGGCAAGTACTGGCTGGTACAGTACTAGTACTGCAGGGTTGCGGCTCCTACCGCTATCGTAGCAAGGAGTGTGTTTCTGCCGGCTGCCCGTAACCTAGAGGGCGAACCACGGGCGCTGTACGTGTACTTGTGCGGTACTGTACGAGTACACTAGCGGTAAGGCAAAGTACAGAAAAGGGCGGCAATGGTCAGGTAATGTCGAATACGGTATGATACAATACCGGTACAGAACGCTACCGTAGCTCGGTAAAAGCGGGCCGCTGCTAAGCTTCCGCATCAGTGAAACAGGCCAAGATACTATGATACCAATAATTTACCGATGCAGACGACATATAAGTATTATATACTCCCGCACTTAAACAGAGGGCAATAGAATGGGCAGACGAGAACAATAAAAAGAAAATTTGCCTCAATTCCCTACTCCAGTAACTCCGGCCTTCAACCTCACCTAATTTGCCTTACCTAAATTTATCTACCACCTTCCGAAGGGTACGTGTAGGGTAGGGTAGGGTAATAAATTCCTTCTTCCATCCCAGGCCGGTCTCACCCATCCTCCTCTCTTCTCTCGCCCTCTCTTGCGCACGATCGCGTGCACGAGTTTCTGGGCCACCCACAATTCTAGATTGACCTCCTATTTTCCTTCATCCACTTAAGGCCTTGCAACCATCTCGATTTTAAACTTTGCCGTCCACACCACTCCCACCACCACACACCACCACCACCACGCCTACACAGGCCCATTCACACCTCTTGTCCCCTTTTGCCTTTTTTTTCTTTTCTTTTTCTTCTTTTTACTTCGCATACTTGTGCAACGATAATATTCGTATAACCTCTCTTCTCTTCCTCTTCCTCTTCTTCCTTCCCCCCTTTCATCTTTTGTCCGTCTGTTTTTCACTGACTTTATACTCCCACGCCAAGAAAAGAAAGGCAAAATGTCTGGTAACCGAAAAAACTCCTGGGGTGACCCAATTCGCTTCTCTCAGACTTTGGCCGCCGGGCAAGGGTATCCTGGACCCTCCTCACATGCGGAAATGAGTTGGACCGTCTGCTACGATGACAACTGCGAAATACATCTTTGCGAGAAACAGGGCTCTGGATGGTTCCCTAGGCGGAAGTATAAGAAGGGTCCAAAGCATGGGAAAGGGAAGGGCAAGGGCGCGAGGAGGGGTCTTGACGACGATGACCCCGAGAATAAACCCTGGGGGATAGTGGGGATGGGGGAGGGTGTCCAATTCCTACCGAGGAGGAGGTGAAGGCTATCCTGGCCCGGAAGGCAGCTCGTGAGGCTGAAGAGGCAAAGGCAACGGCGGGGGTGAATGAGGAAGTGCAGATCGGGCGGGAAGAGGAGGAAGCCAAGCCCAACACCAAGACTACCCAAGGAGTGAAGCCGAAGGCGGCGACGGCTGAGGTTAAGAGTGATTGGGCAGAGAAGATCCGCGAGTTGTTGGCTGGGGGTGTAAAGGCAGACGGGGGTGCCCGTTTGAATACTACAAAGCACACTAATAACTCCTCTGGGAGGACTCTGGGTGAGGCAGTTGTGAAGCCTGTGCCTTGGGCAGGAAATCCTACTCCTGCGGTGGCGAAATACGGGTCTCGCTGTGGAACGGGACAGCTTGCTCCCCCAAATCGAAGTACAATTGCATCGGCGAACCAAAATTCAGGCTTTGAGAAAAAACAGTTTGCTCCTCCAGTTACAACTGCATCTGCACCGGCAAAATTCAATCCTGCTCTTGAGAAGAAGCTGTTTACTTCTCAGCCCATTGCGACTGCCAAGACTCCCCAGAAGACACATTTCACTTATCCGCATGTCACGACTGGACCGGCGGTGCACAACCCTACCATTGACAAGAAGCGGTTCACCTCTCCGCCCGTTACAACCATACATGCGCCGGCGATACCGGTATTCGATCCTCAACTAGAGAAGAAACAATTCGCCTCCCCGCCCGCGACCAGTCACCATCAAAAGCAACCCCTCCAACCTCGCAAAGACCAAGGCAAGACAAATCCTTACCCAAAACCCTCCAAGATGCCTCATCAGAATTCTCCTGTCACACCTGTTCTTCCAACGGCTGTGATCGCAGCGAGAGTAGCGGCAAAGGCGAAACTGGCAGCTGAGCGGGAAGAAAAACTTGCGCAAATGGTCAAATATAAGCAGGTGATAAGCACAGGGGGGACGGGAATGGTTTAGACGGCTTGTTCTGTGCAGTTTGTGGCTCATTGCTGTGTTCATTACTCCATCATTTACCCTAAGAACTCGAATAATTGAACCTCACGCTAAGACGTTGGAGTTGCCTTTGCTGGGTAGGGTCTGGCAATTTTCTTTTTTTTCTGTCTGAGGCCCAAGCTGAAGGGGTCAGTTTTCGCTGTGCGCTCGCCCCCTATCCAAGAGAGGGAATTTCGGACGTCTTAGCGCGAAGTTCAATTATTCGAGTTCTTACGGTATTTCATTCAGGGGGTTTCTTCATTATCATCATTCCGTGGCTTTACATTTTTTCTCTCTCCCCTTTTTTGACGGGTTTCGGAGTGTTTGGTTGGCTGGTTGCTGAATTTAGGGGTTTCTTTGTTACGTGGCTAACTTGGTTTGCTGTTTGAATTTTTTGAGCTTTATCCCCTTTGATATCAGGTGTTTATTAGCATGGGCTGAATGGGTTTCGTTCACATTGGACGCTTTTACTGGATCTTTGAAGACGGGAGTGGCTCCCTGTTATTACTTATATACATTGACTGACGTTTGCCACTTTTCAAGATGTAATAAGTGCGAGGGAGTTGATAGGGAGCATACGTTTGGCGGTTGTATTATATCCTAGACATGATAGATAGATGGATAGCTCGACTGCTGTGTTCTGGGTGCTGAAATATAATTTACACCTAAACATGGTCTTTTCCCCTTGTGATATTCGTTCCCGTTGAGGTCACCCACTTGCTCACTCGAAAGCCCTGTACTGTACAGAATACGTTACCCACGGAGCTTAAAATGACGTATAGTAGTTTTTTCCAAATCCCTACCACAAACCCAAATCAAGGGAGCAAATTAATCAACCGATTAACCAACCAGTAAAAGCAGCACAAAAAATACAAAATACGAAGAATAAACAAAAATAAGAATCGCGGATACCTAAATTCGCAGAGGGGGGGGGAATAGAAGAAATAAAACAACCTCGTTGGCAGGCAGACACACGGAGCGGACCGAACAAGGCTGGAGGAGCAAGAAAAATCATCAAAAAGAGATCTTCCGATTGGGAAGCTAGGACTCGTGCCACTGCCAGATCAGATAGACGACGAACTGGTGGTTAATAAGTGAATCTGAATTAACAGAAAGTCTTAGTCTGTACCTGGACGGTGCTTTAGCACCACTTTGACATGAACAGAGAGAAAAGTAAAAAGGGAAAACCCAACGTGAGGGTCGAAGCCACGCCCCTTCGGACCTCTGGAGTAGATGTCTCACGCGCTCCCATTGCGCTAGTTGGGTTACGCGGGGAGGTTCGTAAGACAACAATATGAAGAATCATTGGTGCCACTTTTAGTCCTTCCCCAACCCAAAAAAAAAAAAAACCACCGCAGAACCTCATCTCTCACCTTCCCTTGGTTCGTTGGCAGCCAAGCAAGGGTGCGGCTCTGCACTAATGGCGCTTGAGCCTGATGAGGACAGGTATGGTATGTTCGAAGCGGGGCACATATTTCCCCTGGCCTTGGTGGATTATTGGGACGCATACGAGTTCGAGATTGATGAGGACCAAGTCAATGCGCCCTCCCCGCATGCATCAAACCACCCCATTAACTCCTCACTAAACGGGATGCTTTTCCGTCGAGATGCTCATTACCTCTTTGATACCTACCAGCTTTCGATCAACCCGGAGGTATTAACCACTCTCTCCTAAAGACTACCTTACTAATATCTCTATAGGACAACTACAAAATCACCGCCTTGACCCGTGAGGCCGCCGAGTACATCCCCACGCTTAGCCGGCCCCCCAAGCATGGCTAGAAAAAGACTCCCGACCAAGTGACGAAATCCTCGGTTGGCACTATCACCAAGCCGTCCTCACCCACGTGAAGGTAAAAAGATAGGTTTTTTGTTAAGGGATATGTGTCGCCCAATTTCCAGGCTGTGGGCAGTGGTTGATGTGGTGGGGGTTGGGATACCGGTCTATGTACTGTGGTGCGTTCCGAATGGCTTCACGTTTTTTTCATAGAATTTGGTAAACGTTGCGTATGCCTTTACGCGATAAAGGACTAGGTAGTTTAGTTAGCAGTCCTCATGTTATTTAAACGAGGAAACAACTCCTCCTTGAAACAATGAGCATCGTGGGATCTTTCTTCTTCTGAAAGAACGCATTCCATCAGTCTTCACCTGTCCTTACTTCGTGACTTGAGAGAATATCTCAATCACGACTATCAAGGCATCGTCATTCCTCTTCAGTTATCAGTCTTTGCTTTGGTTCACTTTCGTTTGTTGGCTACCTTCACCGGAAGCTCAGCAAACCCAATTGCCAACTGCCCACAAAAGAACGCCTGACGGGAAAGCCCCGAAACAGTACCTAGGAGCGAGCGTGAGGGTTCATAGGGAGACTCCTAGGGTCGGGAGACTGGGCGCAATAACAAGCACTTGGAAATATTGAAGAAAATAATAAACCACATACAGTAAAACGGCCGCGGCGCAATTGATTTTTTTGACCAAAAAATCCTTCAAAGAAGTCCTCTAGGACATGGGATTAATGTGTGGTGTCAATGTTGAGAGTATGCGTGATAAACTGGAAGCAACACCGTCAGAAATATTTGATGTGGTTCCCTTTCAGGAAAGCAGGCAGCTTGGCATCGCCAAACTAGACAGCAAAGGTAATAATTTGCTACCAGGAATAGTAACACACCAATACTTGTACATTAGCCCAGCAGCTTCCACTCAATAAACGCACTAGTGCCGGTATCCATCGTTACCACCTGGGAATCGAAGCCTTGTCCCATGCGGCAAAGTTACCAAGAACGCAAACACCTCCAGTTAAAACGCAGCCACGGTCACGCTCTCTTATTTTTTTGCAGAAGGATTTCGTCCGTAGGGTTCCATACTGCGCCGTCACCTGACGGGGAGCGGCTGCCAGGGGTACATCGGGGGTCGGAAGAACTGAAGCTATTTTGAGTAAGTAACTTAATGACCAACCATAGAGCGTGGAAGCCTACCCATGGAGACTATAAAATAACTGCCCGGAGCAGCTTCCTCCTCGTCGAGCTCGGTGATTCGGTGGTCCGCATCTGTCAGAAAAAACGGTTTCGAAAACACGCAGACTAGTTCCGTCATTCCGTATAAATTTTTATGGGTCACACGAAAAGTCGTTTTGACTATGGCGAGTGCATTATTGGGATCCGTGGCCGAATAGATGATTGCGGCGTATGGATTCGGGGGGCGGGCATTTTGGCTTAACGGGGGTGGAGATGAAAGAAGGGTTTGCACGGGAAAAGATATAAGTTTGCTTGACTGCGAAGGTTTGGGTTAAAGAAGCAGCAACAGTGACGACTCCTGACCGGGTAATCGTCGCTTGAGTGAGATTCTGGCAATTCCCCTCATCCCATCGGATCCAAGTATAATCCGAACCTACCGGTTCCTGCCAACATTGATTTACCACCCACATTCCTCTCTAGATTTAACTTGGTTTATTTGGTGCTCGATAGGGTTGACGAGACTCATGATCGTAGATTGGCAAGACATATGTTGGGTATGTACCTGGAGGATGGCCTTGAGAATGCCTCGGGCGATCTTGAAATCATCGTATGTATACTCGCGCCGCCGGTTTGAAATTTCAAAACAAGGGCTAACACAGATTATACAACCCATCGAGCAACTCACGACCTATATCTCCTACGCCTGTCAAAATGTACACCCTAAACTCACCGAAGAAGCAAGCGAAGAGCTTGTGAAAGCCTATGTCGACCTCCGCAAGCTCGGCGAAGATGTCCGTGAAGCGGAATGCCGTATCACCGCCACAGCTCGTCAGCTCGAGTCCATGATCCGCCTCTCAGAACCACATGCCAAGATGCGCCTAAGCGAGGAGGTAACCGTTGACGATGTCCATGAAGCCGTTCGCCTCATCCGTTCTGCTCTTAAAGAGTCTGCTACCAACCCCATTACCGGCAGGATAGACATGGACCGTCTTGGGGGTATTAGCAACTCGGAGAGACGTAGGAAGGGTGACATGAAGAATGCTATCATCAGCCTACTAGATGATATGGCGAGGGGTGCTGGAGGGGCTAGGTACAATGATGTGCTTAAGCGCTTGCAGGAGCAGAGCACTGGTATCACTATTGCTTCGGGAGAATCCGCGGATGCCTGCAGGTCTCCGGAGACGGAGGGGCTGATTAGGGGGAGTGGAGAGGGGGCTAGGAGGGCTATTAGAAAGATTTCGGGCTTTTACATAGATGGAATTGAGGTCTCGAATGGATACATGGATGTCGCCAGGGAGAAAGAAGGACGAACGGACAGCTGAGAGGGATTATGACTGAACGTGTACTTCATACGTGGTTTGAAATGATACCTGGATTGTGAGAATGTGCTATATGAGACCGGTGAGAGGGTGTATCGTGCCGTGCGTGACCTAATCTGCAACTACTAATTCTCCAACTTTTTTCGGGACCTCCCAGAAGGACCTCATGACGGCCCACTTTTAGAAATTGTATACGTCGGTTTGCCCTATCCTGCCCTCTTATTTACTTCTGCTAAACGGGGTCTTCACATTAGTAATTACGATATATCACCGAATATCACTCGTTCCTATGTCATTTCTAGTCTCCCCTTTTGTTTGTCCCTCAAAAATCTAACTCATGAGATATTGATCCCCCATATGGTGCGACGACGCCCCACATATTTTGCGCCAATCTTAGGGAACCTCTGTTCGCTCTCTTGATCCTTACCGGAGCGACGGGGATTTGAATTAATTAAATTGGTTTCTAACCTGATCTCCCTTCGAGTGCTTGGGGTGGGGTGAAGCCTTATTTTGGAGTATTACTCCTAGATACCGTGTTACTCCCAACCAAAGCTGGCTGACCACTGCAAATAATGTATCCCAATACAAAGGAATAACATAGGAAAGAAACATAGCCGACAAGGCCGTTGTGAACGACATGCTCAACACAAATATTAAATGAGGGACACTTAATTGTTGCGAGCTAGATACACATCACATGGTAGCCTGGCTTTCCATCAAGCGCATGACCTCATTGCATTAAAACGACTAAAAAGCTCAAACTCCATTCTCTCCTCAGCTCTTGGGCCGCTCATGATCTCGGTCATGATGTCCGAACCAGGTGGGAAATCATTCTCCAAATAAGGCTCTCCAAGGCCCTTCACATTAACCAATACCGCTTGGCGAAAATGCCAACGTAGGAGCTCATCGACCGGTCGAAGTGGATTTTCGAGGAAGGTCTGGTCAAGGTGACGACCGGCGATGTTAAACCAGGTGGTCTCGCGTGCGAAACACATAATTTTGTAATTATCCTATGTAAATATTAGCAATGAAAACCCGAAAATCTAGTTGCTCATACGTCTGGATTGATTGCCACTCCATAGGCATCAAACAATGCATGCATGTCTGCGCTGAGCAACATCCCATTCTGGACAGAGTGAATAGATCCGTCTGATTCGTTGGGAGGTGGAACGGTGATCCAACGGCTGTAGTTGGACTTATTCCAGTGATCCTCATACGCCAAAGGGAAGATATGAGCGGCTTCGTAGCAGATCCATATGCCAAGTTCGGGTTGCAGTACGGGCCTGCCAGTTATAACGCATCGGCGGTCGCGCTCACGTATGGCATCACGAAACGATGCCATGCGAGTTCCAGACTGTAACGAAAGGGCACGAAGTAGCGGAGCCTCTTCAGTGAGTGTGATGGAACCTGTTTGAAGTGAGTAAAGAGCATGATAGGACAATGTCGCCGACAGGATAGTGTCGCACATGGCAAATCTGGCTGCAGCCGTCCGGGGTAAATGGTGTTTGCCTACTAATACCCTTCATTTTGCTAGAGATGCGACATTATCCTGTCGGCGAAGATGTTTTATCCTGGTCTTTATATGCCAACGAAGAAAGCGGAGAGGAGACCTACCATTACTGACGATGAAGTAATTCCCCGGTTGAAGGGGTTTCTCATCCCTTTCAACCAGCTGTTCGTTATTGTTGCGTAGATCGAAGGTGTCGGTAAAAAGGCAGATGATCTCCACCATACAATAGAGATTGGCATTGGTGAAGCCTTCCGCAGTCCAGAGGCCTCCAAGCAAAGTATCCCGGTGGTTGGAATCATAGATGAAGGTATCGCGCCCAGCGGCACGGTTAGCAGGTGGCATTTGTTCGACTACTTTGGTTGGTTAATATTTTGGTTCTTACACAGAAGAAGGGAATATTTGCGTTGGTCACAGGGCGGATGTGTGAATTGACAAGGGTGCCTAGGCAATGACTGGATAAGAAGCAAAGTGGCAACTAAGAGATAC